ACACTTTTTAGCGCGGACCCGACGTCCATATAATTGTAAGTCAATGATAAATACACTCTTCGTAATCATACACAGGCGTTCCGCTGTGTTTCACTGATGTGCGGTGAATACACTGCACATGATGTGCAGTTGGTTGTCAAACATTCAGGATGGCGGACGCAGATGCGGTCCTCTTTGAAAATGAATTTACACCGGTATGTTGCCAACATTTTGCTATTTCGCTAATTGTGTAAACATAAATTTAAATATAGGAAATGTAACTATTTTTCCGGATTTAAATCGCGTATATTTGTTTTTTCAAACAAACCGACGTTTGTTTTGTGTTTTTGACAAATCGTCGGTTTGTTTGAAAAAACAAATATACGCGATTTAAATCCGGAAAAATAGTTACATTTCCTATGTGTAACAATCGCGAAAACCTAAGAACTCGATATAAATTTTAAGTTTTAAATTAACCACATTAATACGGTAAGTAATGTTGTTTTTTGATTATTTGTGCATTATAACATTCAAAAATCGCGAAATAGTAAACAATATTTCACACTGTTAAATATACGGAACGGAGCTGCGTTGACAAGTAAAACGATCGCTGGTTAGCTTTGCACTCATTTATTATAATATGAACTGGTGGTGGGCGCAGCCACACATACCTACATACATAACATTCTCCCTCTATTATAATAACCTAAATTAATACAAGTATTAAAAGTGCTTTTTATAAGACACAATGGGACGTGGGCATAACAATCTTTTTGGTACAACTCCGGGACCCTGTGGCTTGTCCCGGGTGTCGACTTCGGCTTCCGCTTCGTAGAACTCATCGTCGGAATTCGATTGTCTCGCAGTAGCGCAGACGGAATCAGCTAGCATCCCATCCTCGTCGCCACTGTTAAATATACGGAACGGAGCTGCGTTGACAAGTGAAACGATCGCTGGTTAGCTTTGCACTCAATTATTATACTATGAACTGGTGGTGGGCGCAGCCACACATACCTACATACATAACACACACTATCCATCTCGTTTTGCAAGCATGTAATGACGCGTGTTAAAACGGGACATAACATAAAGCATAGATTAACAAGGAGCAGAGTGTACTGACTAACACAATAACAGAGTATGTATAATAAATGATTCTATCAATTACCAAGGTTACCATATGAATTTAAAAACTATAAAAAAAAAGACTAGGTTCAACGATATCTACGTACCTACTACGTAGATATACTTGACTAGGCTACATGGTATAAAGATCTCGACAACAACAACAACTCGACATTATTTATTTCTTTTACTTAAAAAGACAAACGTTTTTAGTAATATAATAATTATTAAATAGTAAACGAAAGACCCGTGCGTTAAAGCAAACTCAAATGAATAGTGCATCTAATAGCGACGGTATTACGGTACTCATTGACAAAATTCAGCATTTGGATTGGAACAGTTTGGGACCGTGAATGTTCTTGTTTATAGATTGAAGTTGTTGTTGTAGACACATGGGCTGTATCACTTTATTGGTAACTTCTTTCACTGCTGTCATGCTGTACAAAGTTTTCAAAAGGGTGGAACTGAAAAAAAAAGGTACACTAGCGTAACCTTAGGCTCAAATCACACTGGTGCAGAGTTGAAGCGTCAAAAAAAAAAGACAAAGATTCCGCATTTGCATAACACATGTTTGTACCTTATATGTATATGGGAAAATAGAGATGAATATGCTATAGCCGCTTGCGCGATGCGCTCCTCCTACCGCAAAACGGCGGCTATTTGATTTTGCAAATTAGAAAAGCATTCAGTTTAAATACAAGTTTTTATAAATAAAAATTATTATTCTGCATTGCTAAATAAATACCCTCCGTACTACAACAAAAATATCTCAAATAAAATGCAGTAATACACCGCAAATCCTGCACTTAAAAAGCACTAATTAAATTTTTGGTGTACTTGGACAAATATGATAATATTCCGTTTGAGTGGTTATATAGAATCGACATCTGTTACTGTGGTCGTGGTGGACATTTATCAGATATCATTTTTCATTCATAACTGCCAATCCGTACTTTTTTTATACAATAAAAATGTGAATCATTGTCATCTAAATTTATTGTTTTATTTTGATTTACAAAACAAAGTTCTTGTTGAAAAACCCTATACAACTCGCAGGGAGCTGAGAGCTTTCTGGTTGTAGTTAACCCATAGGCTGCAGGTGTAAAAGGTCTGGCAGTAAGCTTTAAATAGCGAACACCTTAACGTTACTAGTACACCTAGCAAACCTACTGGCCAACATGTTGCCCCGCACTGCCAGCGCCCTACGTTCTCTTTCTATATCTGTATTATCTTCTAAGGAATCGGTGACCCAGTGCCCAAGGCACTTAAATTTAGTGACTTTATTAAGAGGCGTGACACACAGCTTAACTTCTGGAACTATGTTATAGCATTTGCTACCAGCTTTAAATACAAGCAACTCGCTTTTAGTCTCATTGTACCGAAGGCCTTGGAGTATTTTTCCAGAAAATATGCATGTCGTGGTTAATAAAAACCATGATATTATTAAAGCTCCAACTACCTATTTACAGCCTTTGTCAAAGTCAAAGATTATTTATTCCATAAGGTAAAATAAATTTACACTTGAAAACGTCACATTTAAGCTACTGCTCGTTCACTACGCTGACCTCCCCGAGAAGAACGAGCAAGAAACTCTAGAGATTGCTCTTTTCAAATAAACTTAAATGCTATGGAATTATGGAATTTGGAGTCGAAACCCTTGGCCCGGGGCACCCAGTGCCCAAGGCACTTAAATTTAGTGACTTTATTAAGAGGCGTGACACATAGCTTATCTTCTGGAACGATGTTATAGCATTTGCTAGCACCTGTAAATACAAGCAACTCGCTTTTAGTCTCATTGTACCGAAGGCCTTGGAGTATTTTTCCAGAAAATATGCATGTCGTGGTTAATAAAAGCCTTTGGAGTCGAAACCCTTGGCCCGTGGGCTCCCAGTGCCCTTCATCTGTATAAAATTTTATTCAAAAAATTAATAGACTGTCTGGAAAACCCAAGGGCCGGCAGCTACCTTGCCCAACGCATTAGCATAGCAACATAAAGGGGGAACGCTGCCGGCATCTTGGGCACTTGCCGCGGGACACAATTTTATTCATATAACATAAAAACCCTAGTTTTACTTTATAGTATTTAAGCTTTTATTGTCTATGATATTATTAAATAAAATAAATATTGTACTTAATTATTAAATCTTTTTAAACGATTCTTTTATTTAAAAAAAACTAACACTATTGTTTCTTTTATAACAACAGAAGGTACAATGTAATTGATTACTTAATACCTTGCTGTACAATATCAAATTACGGTATGTTATTAAATCGCTCTATAGTTTTGTGCTATTTGAAACTATAACGACTCTGCGAGTGTTCTGTTACTCTGGTAATCTCCCTAGTTTGAGACCAGGTACTTGGAGTGTCTTGTATGTTATTTACTATCATAGTTATTTACATAAACGATGACAAACTACGTTGAATTCTCCACGGCTCTGGTAATTTCCCTAGTTTGAGATCAGGTACTAGGTGTGATTGTCTCGTATGTTATTACAGAAATGATGATAAAACATCACGTGTTCTTCACGTTCATCCTATAATTTCCCTAGTTTGAGATCAGGTCCTTGGTGTGATTGTCTCGTATGTTATTTACTATCATAGTTATTTACATGAACGATTACACGACATAGTGTGTTCTCCATGTATAACTGATAATTTCCCTAGTTTGAGACTAGTTACTTGGTGTAATTGTCTCGTATGTCTAATATATGTCTCGTATACTATCAAAGTTATTTACATACTTGACGATAAAACTTCGTGTGTTCTCTACTTAAAAGACCAGTGATGTCTAACGTCACGAGAAAACCAATTGTATGTTATCTAATCTGAGTAGAAAATTAAAATACCATGCTTAATTTCGTTTCTACAATAAAAACCTCATCAGTTTCAGTTAAGCCGCGTTTTGATGCAAAGTGTAATTACAAAAATATGACGTGAATATAAACGAAATGTTTTTAATTATATTATTCATTTGCCTCAGTGTTAGTGTTAATTGTAATGATAACGACGAAGGGAAATACATAGATCTTTTACCTGAACCAGAGAAGAGGGAATTCCTGCAAAGAGTCGCTAGAAGAATCCTTGAAGAGGTTGATACTAAACAGGTTGATAAGCGACCTGCATCAGTTACTTTAAACGACGTTAAATTAGATGACACCAGTTCCTATGTATCTAAATTACTAAATGAAGAGGCAGCTGATCTAAAAAGAAGAAGTATGAATTTGAAACGTAATAAGACTAAAAATGACAAGAATTTGCGTGGCGGAGATAAACAAAAGGAAAAATATATAGACTTGACTTTGAGAGAGGGTCTTCAACCACTTGAGCTGGAACAAGGTAATGTTCCAGGACAGAATGAAAGTACTTCGAGTACTATTGTAACTGGATCGGGAATGGGCAAAGAATCTACTATACTTACAGCTGAAGAAGCTGTTTCTGTTTTGCCTGAAAAGGTAATCGAGGATGTTATAAAAACTAACGATTTACCTTTAATTAGAACTGCAAACTTTACAGAAGTATTAAATGTAACAACCAGTACTCAAATTGGCACAACCAGTAGTCCAATTCAAGACAAAATAAAACGAAATGTTAGAAGTAATGAAGAAAAACTTGACATAGAAATTACAATTGAAGATGCCAATAACACAAAGTCATTAAAAATGAAAGCTAATGAGGAACCACCTCACATTGTAGTTGAAGGTAATCTTAACAGATTAAAATCTGGAGACCCTAATAAAACAAATGAAAGTAAAAGCCGTGGTACTATTTCTTCTACACCAAACAGTACAACCAAAAATGAAAATTTAATACAAGACGATACGATGTCACCAAAAATGAGAACTAATGAAGAAATAGTCCATGTTGCAAATAAAAATAATCTTAACGAATTTAACTTGAACTTAAATGAAAATATATCAAAAAAAAGTACATATAGTGACATTGTTATTTCAACACTAAAAAGTGTAAATCCAGTAGAAAATTCTTTAAAAAATAGTACTAACCAAACTCTTAGTTTAATACGAGACACTGAAAACCAATCCATCTCAACACAGGAGAAATCTTTAAGAAATGATAGAGATATTATAGAGTCAGTTAGAGAGGATGATGAATTGCAAGATAATTCTAGGAGAAGAGAAGTTAACGTGATTCCCGAAGAAGATGAAAATGATAAAGAAGTTAATATTTTACCTGAAGATGATGTCGAACTTGTTACTCAAAAAAATACGCATTCAATTGTCACTAGTGATATTCCCGTGGTGACCGTCATGAGCATTTACACCCCTGGAGTAACTGTAACAAGTACAATAACTTCCGAAGTAATTGTTGCTCGTAGCAATACTAATGAAGTTATTACAAACACAGATACTCCAGAAGTCATTGTTTTAAATACAGATGCTCCTGAAGCAATTATTTCCAGTACTGATGGCCTCAAAGCAGACGTTACATTTACAAATGCGTTAAATAATAACGTAACAAGTACTAGTATTACCACTACTACTGATAATTCTACATTGACAACAAACAATTTTACAACAGTGGGTTTCAATTTTAGAGCATCTGATATAATATGGCCTCAAGCGTCAGATATAGTTTTTGATTCAGCTTTTGTAGGTAATGGGACTGAAGGAAAAACTACGACCAAAGAAAGTATAATGGAATCAACAACAGATGTTAAACTTATATCAGCGATGAGTACAAATCCACAAAAACAACATACAGAAAATTTCGACGACCTGAGAACTTTTAAAAGTATGAAGTCAGCTGATAATCCTATACCAGCATCCAATATGTCTGTTAAAAAAAATATCACAAACTTAGTTACATTAAACTCGACCCCGAATGCGGGATCTCCAGTGTCGGAAAATCAATCTAGTATAAATGAAGATTATCCAATTTTTCCTCGAAGACTATATTCACATGCATTATCCAACGAAGTTGGTGCGTACCCTAGTATAAATAAGAAAAATCCTTTGTGGAAAATAACCCAAGACCCTGATTCAATCGCCTCCGAGAATGGAAAACCAAATATTCCAGAATTTCCAAATGCACCACTTAACAAAGATGATGGGCACCTTACCATGAAAAAAGATATTCATTTGAGGGAAAAAGAAAAATCTGATTTAGAAATGACTGACGACAATATTGACGCAACCACGGAAGAACTATATTTTTTGAGATATAATGACACAACTTCCAATATAATAGCACACAAATCTGAACTAATTCACCATTCACCACAAACAACCACCATCGTCACCAAATATCAACAACTACCTCTGCAACCTTTTAAATCTGTTACTCCAATACGAACTACTCGAGAGTTAGATACTTTAACATCAGAATACGCAGATGATTTAACATCAAATATGGAGAACACAAAAGTAGAGTTAATTAAAAAGAAGAAAAAGGCTAATAAAGCAAAAATGTATAGTGTTTCAACATCTCGAACAGAAGCTATACTTGAATCTACTTCTGAAAACGAAGCGCAAGCTACACCTGTCAAAGTGTTGATTATTAAAAATGAATATCCATTTGTGAGAGCTCAAAAAGATGGCACAGAAACTAAAATATCTGAAGGTACTACTACAAAATTTTCAACAATATCAGCAAACGAATCAAAAGCTCCGCTGTATGTCTCTACTGGTGGCGCAAATTTGGAAGTTGTACCGTTAATTTCTGATGATAACAAAGAAACAACCACTGAAATACAATTTATGTCTGTAATGAGTACTAAAACCAAATTTTCAAGTACTAGCCCTAGTATTGATTCTAAACATATTGAAAGACGCATAGGAGAGCGTGAATCAATTGTTACTGAAGAACTAACTACTTATTCAAATACAGAAGAAAAAGGATCAACTATAAGGGAAATAGCTGTTGACTTCATTACAACTGAATCTGTGAGCGAAGTGACTAGCGACAAAAAAATTGGACTAGTAAGTGAACCCACTAGTGAGTCAACTAATGACTTAGCTGACAAGATAGCTAGTGAATGGGCTGATAAGCCAGTGAGTATAGCGGCTTATGAATCCACTACTGAAACGCCTGGTGAGTTCGCTAGAAATTTTCTCAATGAATCGACTACTACGTCAGCTATTAAAATATCTAGTGAAGTAAATGACGGTACAATCAGTGAGACGGCAATTGAGGTACTGAGCAGTAGCACTAGCGGGTCAACAAGTGAATTGGCTACTGATTCAACTACTAAAATATACACTACATCATCATCAACATCAGTTAGTGAAGGAAATAAAGAGGCAACTAGTACATTCCCAAGTGACTTAGCAAGCGCGCAAGCTAGTAATTTAGCTAGCGAACCAAAGAGCGAAACGACAAACAAATTAATAAAGGAGGCAGCAAATGAACCGGCTATTAAGTTAGCTACTGAAACATCGAGTGGGACAAGTAATGATGCATCCAGTCAGTTATCAAACGATTTTGCAAGTGGACGAGATAGCGAGTTAGGAAGTGAACCAGGTAATGAGATAACTAGTAAGTTACCTAGCGAGTCAGCCAATGAAGCTATCAGTGAGTCAATTATAATTGAACCAACTCCACAATCAGTATCTGAAGTAAAATCTGAAGTAGAACAATCTACCCAGAATAAAAACAAAGTAGATAAACTAAAAGAGGGCACAACAGCACTACCAGTTACAGTACCTATAAGTAATCAAAATGCACAAATTGAAAAACCAATCGATGAGTCTAAGCATAACTTCGAACTTACACACGCTACTACTGAAAATACAGAAGAAAATGCAACAGTCGCTGAAACTCAAGTAATAACTACAGTGATGCCTTTATCTACTACTGACAATAGTGACATTGAAGTTAAAACAGAGAAATTTGATGTGGAAAGTACTTCACGTAATTATGACTCTAGTGAGATAATGACAAAAGTACCTAGAGTAGTTGAATTATATAAACCTAATTTAGCCAAGAGTACTCAATCTCAACAAGTACAAAACTCAAAGCTATCTTTACAACTTGGTCTTGTACCTGAAGAACCAGTTACAGAAAGGAAATTTGAAAGCTTAATCAAATTTCACACAGCACACGTTACGAAGGAATATAGTGTGTATGAAATTCGTAAGTATGTTATAATATTTTGCATGAATGTATGGGCTTTTGATTTTTCATTCAAATCTAAGAGCATAATGGATCATGAGAGAGTCAGCATTCCTCTTTAGTATAAATATTGTCCAAATATTATGTGTTAGTTTTTGCTAATAAGAAGTTCATCTTCAGACTTACAATTCGAGCTATCGTGCATTTTTATTACTAAAGGGTTTAGAATACAAAATATTTTTATCATCAAAGAAAAAGTTTTCCTTGGTTTACAATCTGTAATCAATGTCACGGGAAATGACTTGTTTTAATTCTGCCGTCCTCATTTCCATTATGGGTGACTAGACGTAGGGTGGGGTTCTATCCCTATATTGTGGACATTCCAAGGATTCGTACGAAGCGTTTTGCTTCTACATTTATATGGCGAATGGCTATGGAGTTCCCTGTCTTGTTCCATGAACGGAACGTATTGTAACTTGGGCCTTTTCAAGGCGAAAGAACAGGTGCGCATGTTCCATCGTTGACCTCGACGTCACTTTCTATCATGTGAGATGGGAGGTAAAATGCGGACTTATTTTTTTTAATAAAAAAAAAAACAAATTGTAAACAAGGACTGTTTGACTCAAGTTTAAGGCATTTAATACTGAAAGGCAAGGTGGCTCGAGTTTCGCGTCGGAGAATGTATATAAATTTAAAAAAATAATCACACCGCACTGAAAATTTTTGTAACAAAAATATTTAAATTAACCAATGAAATTAATTTAATATTTTGTGTAAAAACTTCAAACAAATAATAGTTTACTATTAAATTTCAGCTCCTAATGAAGAACCGTTCAAGAAAATTGATAAATATTTATCAAAGAAACTCTCGCAAAGTGATATCAAAAACGCTAACAATAACAACAAAAAAGAACCTATTTTCGTTCCCGTCTCTAACTATGGCTCTGAGCACGCGAACTATAACCCCAAAATAAGAGTTAAACTTTACAAGCAAGACGCACTTGTAAATGTTGCAAGAAATAACGAACAACAGGGCAACGCAGAACGAATACCAATATATGATTACAGTGCTAAGAATGCTTATTTTAATCCACTTGACCGTTTAGGACCTGATCTTGGTGAAGAACTTATAGTTAGAGGTAATTTTGTAAAAGAAGCTGATGATAATGAACCGGTGGAGATAAGTGAGGCAGAATTGCAAAGAATTTTAAGAGAAGATGATGAACCAGAAGTTGATGGTAGAAATGAACCCGATGAAATTAGCGAATCAGAATTGAAAATGATTTTAAGAGAGGACGAGTTACCATCTGGAGATGAACTTCAAGTACTTATGAAACAAAGTGGAGCTACAAAGGATGAAGTAATAAAAGCACTAAAATTAGACTCAAAAAGTAAAGATGTTTTACGGAAAAACACCGTTGTATCATTCGTTTTTCCTCCAAATAAAGAATCACATCCGCTAAGAATAGTTCCGCTAGATATACAGGAAATATTAGACGACACTGGCGGAAACTCATACACAAATATCAAACCAGCTTCTTATGACAACTTTGCAGAAAAAAATGTTTATTCTTCACCACACAAATTAGTCGTGGACTTACAAAAGTTGATACAAGATGATGCCTCCACATCTAAACATATAATGTCAAGAGACGACGCAGATTCCGTTGAAAATTCTGACAGTAAATATGACAATATCAGAGAATCGTTACGTGAAAAATCGAGATTATTTTACCCACAAAAGATAATGCTAGACTTACAGAAATTTGACGATGATCCACGACTTGTTAATATCCTAAATGTCAGATCCAATAATAGAGAGCTCGGTGAATTGAGACAGAAGTTTGAGAATGACAGTCAACGTAAACCGAAATCAAAAAAACCTAATATTTTGTTTAGAAGCGTTTTGCCTGGGAAAAGTGGTATTTTAGATGTTTTACAGAAAGCTCCAACAAAAACGATATCAATGGACTATTTCGACTTTGATTATTACTTTGGACATAGAGTACACGAACGAACTGGTTCCAAGAAAATTTCCCGCAATAATCAAGAGAAACCACTGCGAAGTCAACACGGTAAGTTCTGTTTCAAAACAAACACAGGTTTACTTGTAAAAGACTATAGTACCAGCACGCTATGATGGCCCTTTTGACGTTTGTCCGCTCATCAAGTTTCGTATTAATCCATAACTACGTTGAAGGAGGCAATTGCTGCACATTGTTGTCAATAGTGACGTGCAGTAAAATTAATGGAATGTATAATTTTATGACACAACTCAACATTTGTTGTTCGAAATTTTTAAAAATTCGCTTCAAACGTTATTAAGTAAACATTTTTATTTTCGTTTTGTTAAAACTTTTTAATCAGCTACCCCTTGCAATACCAGTTATAAATCTAAAAACTTATATGTGTAATTTTTTTTGTGATTGAATTGAGATTTGACCTCACTATTGTAATCTGTCGAAACGGCCATCATTGCGTACCGGCTTTTTTGCATCGGGCTGGCATTTTCGCTAGCTTTACAAAGCAATCACCGTTTAAAAATTATTATTCTACATTGCTAAATAAATACCCTCCGTACTACCAACAAAAACATCTCAAATAAAATGCAGTAATACACCGCAAATTCTGCACTTAAAAAGCACTAATGAAATGTTTGGTGTACTTGGATAAATATGATAATATTCCGTTTAAGTGGTTCTAACGTTTACCATGAAATTACTCCTTAAAGTATAATTTATGAACATTTATATTCAGGGTAAACTTGAAAAACGCTACTTACGGTATGGTTTCAATAAAAAAAACCGAAATCACCAGCCCAAACAATAACACACACGATTGTCGTGACGTATTTTTGAAGTTGTTTATTTTTTTAAATGACAGACCCAGGCATTAAAAACTTTATGGTTTGCTAGAGTAGTTACCGAAATAGCAATTAATATTAATTCTTTTACCTGTTATAACTTCGATATCCGATAAATCGGTATAAAATCATCACCGCCACCTCTAGGTGTGGTATGCGTCTACGGCTGCATGTATCGCGTGAGCGGATACCACAAAGTATTATGTACCTGTGAGAGTTTGAGGGGTATAGCCACTCTTTTCTAAATGCTTGCTGCTCCATTAAACAGATACCAATACTGTAAAACCAGAAACAGCACCTTTTTGAAAATTTGTTACATAATTATCAGCGACGGGTTGTTTTGCTTGCATAACCCGGTAAAATGCTGAGTGGAGTAAGCTTTACTTTGTATTTGCTGTAAGAAAATGAAACCAAATAAATAATTATTAATACAAAAGGCAGAGTGAAGAAAAACTTTCATAAAGATTTTTACGCGGTAGCCTGCAGTACCGACATACACAAAAGTCGTACATTGCTCTCTACACCCAATACAATAATGATTTTAGGATGCTGTTGCGGCTGCCGAAGTTCTGTAGTGCGTTTACAATGTTTGCGGAAGCGCGAACAGACTCCTTTTCTGCCATACTACGGAAGAAAATCACTTCTCTTTTAAACAGACTTAGCAACAGCATCTTGAAAATGTTGCTGAGAAAGTGGAGGGACCTCTCATAAGAAACCTCATAGAATTTACGCGATCTTTGTTTAAAATAATTTACTAACATAGTTTATAACTCTGTTACTAATTTAAATATGGATTTACGTTGTCCGAAAATAAATAAATTATATATATAGCCCAGCATGGTAACCGTTCGGCTACGGAGGCAGTTATAATTTATTGTTATTGTCTTTGTCTTTCTTGTTTATATTTGTAAAAGTCTTGGAAGCCTAATGGTTTGACTTACTACGTTTCAAGTAGAGGTCGTAGGTTAGCAACTCTGAGTTCTTTAAAATTTATGTGCGAACTTTAGTTTCAAATTTACCATGAGCTTTTCGGTGAAGGAAAACATTTTGATGAAACCTGCATGTCGAAGAAGGTTCACAATCCCCAACCCACACTGGGCCAGAGTGGTGGACTAAGTCTAAGTCTTGACCCTTATAGGAGACCCCATTTTATTTCTTTTTTTTTTGACGGGGGAAATCTTTATGTGGGGACTCTCCCTCCAGACTGGAGGGCCTATCCCACTAAAACCCCCCCGGGTTTCCCTCTCGCCGGCGCCGCCCGGTCGCCCTAGCTTGCGTCAGGTCTCCCGCGCCAACGGAGGGGCGAGTCGGTTGTCCTCCGACCCGCCCCCCAGACGAGTGAGGCCGTGCAATGCAGGCTCCGGAGTCCCTGTCCAGAGCCCGCTGGCCTCACTAGGGGATCAAGCGAGCAGGGAACTGCCTTCGCCTTCTCCCCGAACGTCTGCATCGAAGCGGGTGCGCGTCTGCCGCGTCCTCGCGCACCCGCTCCGCGGCCTCCTTTTGCGACATAACCTCTGCGCAAAAGGAGGCCACCGCCTCCCAGGACTCCTCGCTACCGAGCATGGCCTGCAACCACCCTCGGCAGCGAGAGGTCCTGTCCTACAGTCCCCGTCAGAGTGCGGCGCTGCCCATCCCATCGGCTGTACACCTCTAGGGTGTGCTGCGCGATGTAATCTGCAGCGCCGCACTCGTGACACGACGTGGACGGTTCCCTCCTCGCCACCTTGTGCAGGTAGTGACCGAAACACCCGTGCCCAGTCAGCACCTGCACAAGGTGGTACGATTATAGGAGACTCCTGCCAGTGGGACGTACAAATGGATGGATGATGACTTATCGTTAAGATATTTGCTTTCTGGTGGAGGATTATAATTACAAAAACTCTATTTTAAATAATTAGCTATATCTAACTGTCACCATGAACTAAAGAATTTGTTTTACAGAGCCAGCATCAGTACATTTTCCTGACTCTGACGAGGAATTACATCCTTATCATAGTTTGAAAAAGAATCGATTTGGAAATCACAAGAATTTGGCACATGAATACATTATTAATACCAAACAATATAAAAGTTATAAAAACATGATGAATTATACCGATCCAGATATTAAAAGAATTGAAGATAGACTGAAGGAATATGTAGAAAAAAAATATAAGGAAAGAGTACCAAAGAAAAACGAAAACGAAGGCAAGGATAAAGACGACAAGAAAGACGATAAAAATCACGATAACAAGGATGTAGTCACGAAGAAGACAGTTGAAGATAAAAAAGACGAAGATAAGAAAGATGAAGTTAAGAAAGATGACGTTAAGCATGATGAAGATAAGAAACCCAAAAGTAAATTAAGGACAAACGAAAACATCCAATACGTATTAGTCGTGCCACAGTCTGGTAAATCGTTAAAATACTTGAAGTTGGAAGATTATAAAGAAATGCTGGACAATATACTATATAGTAGAGTATCAGGAACTAAAGCATTAATAACCAGCCTCACTAATAATGAAGAGAGAGAAAAGGACATATTCAAAGGAAAGTAAGTGTTTCATAGGCTAGCAATCATGTTATTAATATGCCGAAAGAAACGATATAGTTTTTCTATTTAAAGTGTAAACCTTTCAAAGGATTCTTTATCGCTCTCAGAAGAGAAATTGTAGGCTGTTAAATATGAAATAAAAATTTTTTGCATGATTCGTATACCAATTATGAATTTTTTAAATAATATATTGTTGGGTTCGATTCCCATCTTTGAACGAAAACATCGTGATGAAATCTACAAATTGGAGAAAGATTACATAATTGTTTTGGGATATTTGAAGTTTCCAACCCTCCTTTTGGGCCAGTGTGTGGTGGACTAAAGAAGAACTCTGAAGAAGATCGTCGTCTTGTCGTCATCTTGCAGGCCTAAAGGGGGTAAGAGACCCAGAAAAAAATGGGGGCGTTGTGTAGACGCTTAGGGGGAGATTTGTAATTTCATCTAGGAAGACTCTTAGGCACCGACTGAGCTCTCGACTCTCGAATACAACTTGTGAATATCAACTAATATTAATTAAGAGATTGCTCAAACTAACTCGGTTCGATATTTCTCTCCGTGTAGTTCATACATCTGTCCTGTTTTATTGAATAAATAAAATAAAAATCATGTCAATCGGTCGCTCCGTTTCGAAATGAAAGTAGACACAAACGAACAAATAAAAAGGCAACAGACACAGTTTCGCATTTTAATAGTTATTAGTATTCCTAGATAGGTAATTTTCGTAGATGATAGACCGCGGGCAATCATGTTTTAACAAGTTTTTGTTAAATAACCCGATTTGTGCATTCCTGTTTCAATCGGCTGGTTCATAGAATACTTGTTATTACTTGTTCAGTACGATTGAGCGTCGAATGAGGTAAACGAGTTTATGCATGTTTGTCTTATTCCTGTCGGTGCGTGCTGCTTATGCTATCCTATATAAACAACGTAACATTTATTTTATTTTCATTTGCGGTTTCGCGCGTAATAGATAAGCAGTCCTTAAGTTCAACACTTACTTACTTATTTCTCAAAACAAAACAATGTCGGAAGTAAAAAAGAAGAGACGGTAATACTGTGCGGAATATATTCGGATTCATTGAAAATCCCACAAACCCATCGTCGCTTTTGTGCCTTCTATGTCTAAAAACATTTTCGAATGAAGCTATGAAGCCTTCAAGACTGCAAGATCATTTGAATAAAATGCATTCAGATAAGAACGACAAGAATGTAGCATATTTTCAAGACCTAGAGAGGAAGCATAATACTCAGCCAAGTGAAGCAGAACTCATTTCGGCGGCTGCTAAGCAAGATGACAACGGACTTCGAGCTTCGTACAATCTCTTTGTTGATTGCTCAAAAAGGCAAACCTCACAACATCGGAGAAGAGTTAATTTTGCCAGCAATAAAGGAAGTAATAACTACTGTGCTTCATAAACCGGCCGCAGATATTATCCGAAAAATTCCTTTGAGTAATAATTCTGTGCAAAGACGAATTGATGAAATGGCTGAAAACATTGAAGAATCATTGTGCAATCATCTGAGGACTAGTTAATTCTCAATTCAGCTCGATGCGTCCACTTTAGCATTGTTGCTGTCTTACGTGAAGTTTGATGCTGTCTTACGTGAAGTTTGAATTAAAGATGAGAAAATATGTGAAGAACTATTGTTTGCTAGAAATTTAGAGACCGATACAAAAGGCGAAACCATATTCCATACATTGGAAAAATTTGTGATGAGAAAGAGATTCCCTAGAAAAATGTTATATCAGTTGCTACAGATGGCGCTCCGGCTATGACAAGGGTGCCATAAAGGCTTCATAGCGTACTTAAAAAATAAAATTCCAGATGTCCTTGCTATACATTGCGTTATTCATAGACAACAATTGGTTGCTAGAAATTTTAGTGAACGACTATTTCAATCACTGCAATATGTCATCAAAGCAGGCAATAAAATCCGTAACAGCAATTTGAATGATAGATTATTTCATCAGCTTTATGTTACTAATGACGAAGATTTCAACCGTTTGTTGTTTCATACTGAAGTTCGTTGGCTATCAAGAGGCAATTGTCTGACTCGATTTTACAACCTGTTTGACTCTGTGATAGAGTTCTTGGAAACTAAAGATACATATTATTATATTATACTAATTGCGCAACAAGCTCATTACATCAAAGAACGATATAGCTTACATGACAGACCTGTATAAATTGTTCAACCGCATGAATCTCCAACTGCAAGGCGATGAACTAAATTTAATTAAAACAAAAAATGTCGTTGCTGCTTTCGCAGCCAAACTGATTCTACACATAAAGAATATGAGCAGACGTGAGTTTCACAATTTTCCGAATTTATCAGTATCCTGCAGTAACGACGACTTGTTTGCCTACTGCCAACATTTGGAAAACCTCCACATTGACTTCACCGAACAATACAGGACATTTTGAACTTGGAAATACCAGACTGGGTGTTGGATCCGTTTTCAAATGTCAACACAGCAATATCATCTTCTTCAGCTGGAAGAAGAACTTACAGAATTGACAACGAACGAGGAAATAAAAATCAAGTTCAAAAATGGCTACCAAGAATTTTGGCTATAAAACCCGATCCCGCAATTGTATCCTGGATTGTGGTCAATCGTTCAACGATTCTTGATAGCATTCCCATCGTCATATTTGTGTGAACGTGGTTTTAGTGCTGTGACAACGCTGCATCGTTTGCATGTTACAGAACGTGGTGACTTGCGGCTGTTCTTGAGTAAATTGGAACCTGATATCAACAAACTTATTAAACAGCATCAGATTTCATCCTTCACATTAGTTTTTATATTAGAATCGATTATGATTGTTTTATTTTGAATAAAAGATACTGTCTGAATACTATCAAATTGCGTTTCAATAATCATTCTCATTGGCAGGTGTATTAGGTAACTCTAGCGGATTATAGTAAAAGTCTCGTTTAGAACATTGACTTACAAATAAATGGACGACGGGTCTAATACAAAAACCACGAAAAAAATGTCCCAAGTCAACCTATTTAAACGTAGTGACATGTATAGGAATATGAAAAAGCTAAAACGTTGAATTTAAATTGTAATGTCATCGCAGTACTGTCCAATTTTGCTTGCTTCGCTGTCAGAAGAAACAAACGAAGACTAAAGCGTGAATGAGGCTCTGTATACGATTTTAACGCCCTATAAGTTCGGATACTTTTTAGCGCGGACCCGACGTCCATATAATTGTAAGTCAATGGTTTAGAATGAATGTTTAATCCACGCTAATATAGCTCACAATAAATAATATAATTTGAAGTTATAGTGGTTTTTAAGTAGGTGATAAAATGGGGGCGCTAAAAAAGAATTTATTCTCAAAGTGGGCAGTAGACAAAATAAGTTTGGGAACCCCTGATGTAGAGAGAACAAAAAAAATTTAAAAAAATTCTTCAATATTTATGTCATAAATAATACAATAAACCAGTAAAATATTGTCATGAAAAATATATATGAATATCACTGTAATAAAAATTAATAGATATAAATATAACATTTTTTTTTCAGAGTAAACAACGTAGCTAAGGAGTTAGACAGAATATTACACCCAGACAAAACTCGAAGCGTGAAAGAAATGAGACTAATAATGGACCATTCTGACCAAATTGGCATTTACGATACTTTAAAGAAAGTAGATAGGTTGTATGTACGTGACAAAAACGAAATGGTGGAATCGTACATAACTGTCATGAATGATATGATTTCGACTGACAATGCAGCATTGGTTCAATATGATTGGTTGACGACTACTGTAGAAATACGATCAGCGTTGAAAAAAATTATAGACTTGATGTAAGTATTAATGAAAAGAACTAAAAGCTTCTGGCTAAGGAGCCACAGAATCACAAATACAAGAAGCTTAATAAATGAAGAAGATAAATGATAAACAGCAGTAGAGCTTCTTGTGAAAGAGTTTGTCCAGGGAAGTACGGCTATCTTACCTATTTCTACCGCCAAGCAGTAATGCATTATTGCGTTCCGGTTTTGAAGGGTATAAGGGCTCGTGAAATTACAGGCACATGGGACTTTTCAATTTATGTCAGTTCTTTGCGATTTAAAGCTCTGAGTGGCACTGCAACTGTTAAGGACACGCGCGTAGCTTACCATCAGGCGCACGACTTGTTCCATCCGTCACCTGATAGTATAAAAAAAATTATCATGAGTGTAATGATATTTTTTTCATCATCATGGCGGCCTTTTTGTTATGCAATCTTGGTTGTAGGCTACTTCCCTCTTCCTCCACTTTTGTCGATCTCGTGCGTGTCCAGTCCCGTCCTCCGTGTCGTCGGATATCGTCCTTTGTGCTACGGTGGTATGTCATGCCTTCTAATATCTGCTCTGGGTCTCCATTCCAGTATTCGCCTTGTCCAGCAACTCTTGCCCACATCCACTTTTCTTCGTCACGCTCTTGAATATATACATCTTTAATTTTGGTCCTATTTCGGATCCAAGCATTAATTTTTCAGTCTCTCCATGTCCTTTTGAGTGATTCGAAAATTCTCAGCTGACTTCTATATAAAAGCCATGGTTTTCATACTTATAATCACTACGATTCATTAAATTTAGCTGATTAGAATGATAGGTCAGGAACATTAAGACGACGTAAATGTAGCAGCGTTCAACAAAAAACAAAATTAGCTTTTTGCATTGCTTTACATATTTACGGTACCATTCGTTGATATGCGATAATACGCTGAAGTTGCGTTTGACGGAAAAAAATTGTGTTGGGATTCATCGAAAATGTAGAGTCGATCATAATTTTTAAAATGTTAAGTGTTGTCAGCTGCATTTGTGATATTTTTGGCTAAATTGTGTATTTTTGGTGAATCCAATTATTTAACTGAAAAATAACAAACAGTGGCGCCTTGCTTATTCGCCATTATTTGTGAGGTGGATTATATTAATGAATTTCAACAAGTTGATTTCACTTATGGGTTAATCGATATATTTTAACATCGATTCTCGATTTCACTGATCGTATTCCATCATTGGTACATGAAGTTTGACAATTGTCATTCTAACCAGACTAAATTTTACGAAATAACGTTACAAGCTTCTTACCGCGGTGTGACTATAAGGATGAAGACTTGTCAGTGGCATCGTAGCTCTCAAACTCAAGGACTGATTTCGAAGTAGTTTTTTTATTTGAAGTGTTATTTCATTCGAATGATTTTAAGCTATGTTTGATGATCAATTCAGCTGTTTAAAGATACTAGTTAACATAAGATTCTCAGTTATAAAATGAATATTTATTTTATTTGTCCGATTGACTTGAAATTTGTTACACTATGGGAATCCGATGATATTGCTGCAACCAGTCACAGGACTGCAGACTTTTGGTCATTATATTTTAAGGCCTAGTGAAATTTTCTACCCTTTAGTGAAACTGTATTCGGTTATGAGGAACATTTCGCTAATAATAAATTATCTATTTACATTTTTTTTGTGAAATAATTCTATTAGTTTTATTATGATAGTTATCGTGTTCGATCTTCGTATTCATAAAAATAACAAAACTAGTGGAGTTATTTTAAAAAAATCCAAACAAATACCTTTGATTGATCTGTGTTAGTTGTGATACCTGTAAAGGTAACGGCTGCGGCGAGAAAGTTATTGAAAAATCTCTCACAAGATGTCACTAGCGGCGACGAATGCCGAAAGCTAGTTACAAAGATCTATGACAAAAACAAATATAGGAGAATTTCGACGGCTCGGTAACTGGACCCGTAGCTCAGTTGGTAAGAGCAATGCTGCGGTGCAGCAGGAGCGTGACTTCAAGTCTCACCGGGTCGAGTAAATTTTTCTGTATGTTGGATCTTTGCATTTATAATCGTAACAAAATAAAATGGTCTTCCAGCGAAAGCTACAATAAGCAAGAAGCAATGGATCCCGACGACTTACAACTCATGGAATACCTTTTGTATCTATATCATACAACTGTGAAAAGATCGTCTACCCGAAAAGCGAACGAATTTACTAGACGTCGAGGAGGTAAACTATATAACTACTTGAGAAATTTTGCAAATGATCGAGGCATTTTACCAAAGAGCTATAGGAACATAAGAAAACATAAGGTAAGTTTGTGTTAACACATCTGAACTAATAATAATCTTTTAGGCCTCGATAAAAATGGAAGGAAATTAATTTGCTACTTCGAGAACCCAGTGAAGGTTACATCGTCCAAAACAGCCGCGCTTGTGTTGAATATTTTTGTCACTCAGTTCCCCGAAACACAGCCACCGCGCCCGTCACCCTGTGACATAAGTTGTTTAACTTTTTTGTTTTATGGTTTTCGCGGCGATGATTAAACGACAAAGATATAGATAAACTACATACGCAATTGTTGTTGCAATCGTTGCTTTTGTTCTTCAAAATGTATAAGAATTTTTTCATTGCCAAATAAGCAAACCTAGATTTATCAACTGAATGAAATATCACGGGCAGGTTTATACACAATCTGCCATGCTACGGCCACTGGCTTTAGTTTTTAATCTTTTATTGTAATAAAACTGGAAGAAAAATTAATTTGCTTCTCCACGAACCCAAATTAATAAAATAAATAACACAAGCGCAACTACAGTCACAAATCACCACCAAAAATATACCCGACACATGTTTCGCCTCTACGAGGTATCCTCAGGGGCTGTTGATTGCCCGACGCTCGGCCGAAGCTCGTTCAGAACGGTTCGTGTATTTATACCCCGCTACCCCCAGTGTTGCTATTGTTGAAACCCGAAAATACCCGTAATAAAGGTGATGATGCAGAATTCAATTGTTCATTTATTATACAACCACTGTTGTTGTACCTAATTATTTCCATCTGTTCTAAAACACGCAGACGTAGTTCTTTTTCGCAAAAATGTAAGATTTCATAAGAATAGGAATCTGGTAAAATGTGTTTTGTTTTTAATAAATGTTTAGCGAAATTGGACCTGTCTGGGTGCTTATGCCTAAACGAAGAAACATGCTCTTTATATCTAGTTACAAAGTTACGCCCTGTTTGACCTATCTAGACACTGTTACACGTGTCACAGACGAGCTTATAAACTCCCGACTTCTTTCCACTAATTAAGTGCATGAAAAAAAAAATATTCAACTCAAGCGCAGCTCTTTTGCACGATTTAACCTTCACTTAGTTCACGAAGCAGCAAATTAATTTACTTCCAGTTTTATTAACATGGACTTCCGCAAAGTAATGCCTAAATCTATTAATTACTTTTATAGTAATTTAGGCTCTACCTTGTTGAATAAATAAATGTATTTGTCTGGTTTAAAGGTTAAACATTCTAATAAGCTGAAGAGGGAAACCAACTGGTTGCTTGGAGCCGTTCACCAAAAGGAAGTAGCAGATTTCAAGACTTTCTTACTCTCTCTGGACACAGGATTAAGCGATGTATGTATTTCCAAAGTCCCACTGCTGGGCATAGGCCTCCCCCTAACGATCTCCATGACGATCGGTCCTGCGCTGTCTGCATCCATCGGCTTGCCGCGACCTTTACCAGATCGTCTCGTCGTCATTGCCACTTTAGCTGAGCAATTCTTCGAGCTATGTCGGTTACCTTAGTTCTCCTATGGATTTCCTCATTTCTGATTCTATTACGTAGGGAAATACCGAGCATCGTTCTCTCCATTGCCCGCTGAGTGACCTTGAGCCTTCTTATGAGGTCCATAGTGAGGGACCCAGTGTTGTAGGTTAATAAACAGACTGGAGTGCGTAGTGAGAAGAATATGAGCTTGTACGACGCAAGAAAGATTTGTCAGGATCGTGTTAAGGGACGTTCGATAGTCTCTGACTACTCCAATGGGGAATCCAAGAGCTGATTATGTATTTGACAATCATAGCGCCCTGAGTAGCTCAATGTTTTGCACTTAGGGCGTTTATTAAAGGATCAAAAGAGAAGGAGCATGAGTGAAGAAACGCTTTCGTAGATTTCTCACAGATGGCGCCACGGCAAAAAAGTCGTTAAAACCCAGAAACAAAGATCTGCAACAAGCATATAGAAAAATTTGTAAGGTCCGCTAGTTCGTTTCGTTGGTTTATTGGCTTAACATCTGGCACGGTTTGCTAGAAGACGTTGGTTCGAATCCAGCCAGATCGAAGGAATTTTTTCTAAGTTTTCGAACTTTGTATTAACAATTATTACAAACTAGTGTGGTAATTTCATCAGATTATCATGGTGGTCAAACAACGTGATATTCAATAAACTTAAAAATTACAATTGTTAAAGTGACATCTCTGGTCCGCTGCTGGTAGTTGTAAAGTTAGTTCTTTATATAGGGGAGCGTGGGGGAATGGGAGCTTATCAAGGAAAATTTATAATAAAACTTCGTTGATCTGGGGGCCTACCACAGCCTCTAAAACAATAATGCTTTAACTTTACATTGACTTTTCGTACCATGATGCGCTTAAAGTTAGCTTATTATAATGTTAAAACTATGATGTTTTATTGGTTTATGACTATTCATTCACTCAGTTCGTACTAAGACGCGACTTTAACATTAAAGTAATGTTGTTGTTGTGTCAAATTTAGCAATCTTAAAATAGTTACTTGGACACAGTGGAAACAATATTATTTTCGATTAGCCAGATAAATATAGATTTGTAATTATTAAAAGTTAAGTTGAACTTATTTATTTACATAAATGTCTTCAATATTTTGTTTATTTTTTATTTAATAAAAAAAAAAATACGCGATGTTTATTTCATAAAATTATGACAGCGACATCTATATGCTCCTTGGCGACATTAACAGTTGACACTAGACTATGATTCCGAATTCACAACGTAACTATCAAGACTCAGCTTGTTCTATTTGTTTTTCTTCATGAAAATGCGGAAAAATAATTGAAAACAACGTAATTTTAATATATTTTATTATTGCATAGTTTTCTTTTTTAACGGTTAAAATTCTTACTACTATAAGACGATTCGGAACATCAAAAAAGAAAAAGATGACATTATATAGTTCGTATAGCGTTATTTCTTTCTTATTTTTAGTAAGGAATAGACAATATTGGGAAATCATTCGTCTTTTAATCATTTTATTATAATACATTACTTGGTTGACATGTTTGTCATGGTACAAGTAATATTATAATAATCTTACTAACAAGCTTACTTTAAGCTTACATTGAAATAAGATTATTTGTGGAAAGGCTATGGTGGTAGGCCCACCGAAAAAATATGAAACCAAATAAAAAACTAAAACATGTCGTTCGCTCGCGTAACTCCATAGTTCGGGAAATGGGAGCTGGTAAGTATCCTGCATGTCAAATGGGAGCCATTATAGACAATCAGTCTGAAAAAATATATCAATTAAACTAACGAATTAAATAAGTTAAAAACTATTGAAAATAAACAAGAAAGTGTTAAAGGTATTTGGAATATCCAGTAGATACTGCAATGGGGTAAGGAGAGCGAAATAGCTCTCATTATCCGCGTAACATCGAATTGAAAAAAAAAAAACAGTAAAAACCATTTCTATTTTTATTGTAATTTCAAGCATAACACCTAAAATTTTATACATATTGCGATGACAGCTAGTGTAAATACAATATAGTACCTATACCTATGCATTTTACAGCTTACCTGAGATGATGTTTGGAAATTTTTATAAGCGGTCAGCGAAAAACTCACAACCATCTCGTACGAGTACTTAAACGCGGGGTACTGCGGAGGCGCCCGCGAGAGACGCATTTTGTTGAACATTAACGAAGACATAGCCCCGGAGTGCCATACCCCCGGGCTCCCAATACCCCACGTTCCCTTAAACATTCATCTTCTATTTCACCTCTTTTAAGATTTATTTTTGTGACAATAAGCAGTCTATGTCCTTCTTCTAGGTCCAGAGATTTTAATGCGGCGCTTTGTTAACGCCATTTAAATCGGATAAAAACCCATTAACGCCTGACATCATGGGCAAGAGCTATTTTCAATTTAGCTGTAAATATTGATATGTTGCTATTCATCGCCCCAAATCATCAATCAAGAATAAATATTAATATTTTTTTCCCACCTGTGATACCCTTATTTACAAGTTTATTTTTGGTGAATACTGTGGTACAGTCAACCAGAAAATGTATTTGAGGGTCGAACTGTATTATTTAATTTATTAGAAATTAACAACATCAACAGTACTAACTTATGTAACTTATTAACTTTGATTTCAAAACTTCTTTTTCTCTTGACTCTACTTACCTTACAAACACAATGATAGATATCCGTTGAGAGTTGCAAAATATAGAGGGAATCAGTTGCAATTTAAAATTGGCGGTGGATTTGGGGATCAGATGGGAATAATTTTAAGAATTTGCATACTTAGTATTGAGTTTTCACAGGTATGCAAGGTCGATATAATGTGGACTTGCCTGTTTTTCGTATAAGAAAGATTTTTTACATCGAATTTTGTAATAAGTAGGCTAACATTAGTACGTATTGTATTTTTTAAAATTATTCCACTAGTGTGAAGTTTAAAAAATATATATTACAGCTATAGCTGTTCAAAATTGGTATTTGATGAAAATTCAGACTAGCTTTCAAGGTCGATGGTAGACTGTCACAATTTGATTATTTACATAAGTTTTTTTTTACAGTTGCACGATGCGATAAAACATATAGCTATGATAGCAACGTACACGAACCAACATTGGTATCGTAACTTGAAAGAACTATACCTATACGATCGTTCTAGAAAACGAATTCTAGAAGTTATTCTACATCTTTTTACAACAAGACTTCTACATTTAATAGACAACAGTGCGAGTAATGGAGGCGAAACTAATTTTGCGAGATATTTGAAAACTAACCCAAAGGACGTTGTAAGAACTGTCAAGGAACTCGAAACCGTTCAGCAGCTGCTTTATGAAAGGAATAGAAAAGCGTAAAAAATTGTGATCATAGAATATTATTTAGAATACAAGAATAAAGGAATATAATATTTTTTTTAATGCGTCACCCTAGTAGAGCTCCTTGTGCAATAGTTCGCCCAGGGAAGTACTGCCACTTACCTATTTCTGCCACCAAGCAGTTATGTCAGCATTACTATGGTCCGGTTATAAAGGGCAAGGGTGCTGGTGAAAGTACCCCTTAGATCTTTGCGATTTAATTCTCTGTGTGGCATTGCAACTGTTAAGGACAAGCGGGTAGCTTACTTTCAGGCGCACGACTTGTTTCGTGCCGTCACTTGATATTATAAAAATTTAAAAAAAAACCATAGATCTGTAATTTTATCACCATCTTTTCTCATTCCTGGCCACATATTTTTGAAACTTAGAACCGTTCTCTCATTCATTACAGAAGTGTTGTACACATGTTACCAACATTTAAGAATGAATGGAATGCCACAATATTACAATTAAAAATACAATGTCAAACATTGACTTACAATTATATGGACGTCGGGTCCGCGTAAAAAAGTGTCCGAACTTATAGGGCGTTAAAATCGTATACAGAGCGTCATTCACGCTGTAGTCTTCGTTTGTTCGACTGACAGCGAAGCAAGCAAAATTAGACAGTACTGCGATGACATTACAATTTAAATTCAACGTTTTAGCTTTTTCATATTCCTTTACATGTTACTACGTTTAAATAGGTTGACTTGGGACATTTTTTTCGTGGCTTTTGTATTAGACCTGTCGTCCGTTTATTTGTAAGTCAATGATGTCAAAGGATAATATGATCGTCATTAACGCAAACAATAATAATGAATATAAAATAAAGTACTTTAACTACTGCTTATCTAAATACAAGAAGAGAAGGAGTTTAGGGGTCGTATTCCAGAACTCTACTCAATGCTCAAGTCAGGACTTGAGTATGATTTCAAGCACAAGTAAATCATACTCAAGTCCTGACTTGAGCATTGGGTAGAGTTCGGGAATACGACCCTTTTATTTGTAACATTTTTCGGGTTTGTGAGTAGTTGTTCGTAGAATCGCGGGCCTATTACCCGTGGATATCTCGTTAAGAGTTCGGTAAGGTGGGCAACGGATTTTAGTTTTCCCGCGCTTGGCAACCTCATAAGAATGGTATTCGATCTCGTTCATAGGATCACAGCGAGCACGTTTGAAGCATTTAATTCTTTGGAGCCAATTTTCCACCACTCTCCACACATGTATTGTTTCTGAGCTCATTTAATGTTGCAAAAACGAGCAATTCGTTCTGTGTACCGTTTAGGTTCTCGAGTTTCTCTCAGAGAAAAGTTTAAGGAGACTGGTATCTTGACTGTGGCATCACAGTACATTTACTCAAATATTTTGTATGCCCGTAAAAATATACATAATTTCATTAAGAAAGAAGATATCCATAATACTGACCTTAGAACTAAGTTCAAGCTCATGGTACCGCGACTTAACCTAAGGTAAACGATTCTTTTATAGGGAACTGCAATAAGATTCTGTAGCATAATATTAAGATTACCATTTCCTAAGTTTAAAACTTACATTAAAAGTATTTTAATTGAAAAGTCATACAACAAAATTGAAGAGTATGTTTTAGATAAAGAAGTATGGAAAGACAACAAAAATAAGATTCGAAGTGTATTCCATAGCATTTAAGTTTATTTGTAAAGAGCAATCCCTAGAGTTTCTTGCTCGTTCTTCTCAGGGAGGTCAGCGTAGTGAACGAGCAGTAGCTTAAAAAATGACGTTGTCAAGTGTAAAAATTTTGCCTATAGAATAAATGATTATGTGACGTTCACTTTGTTAGTTTTTTGGCATGAACCAACGACTTAACGTAACCCCATAAAAAGTAATCTAAAGCGTTAGATTGCATGAGCAAGGTGGCCTTCGACAGGACTATTTAGTAAGATTACACGATTATCGAATTTCTTCTTCAATAGGTCGATTGTTTTGTAATTCTGTTTTATTGAAATACAAAATTGTTATGTCTTTATTGGAAAACCCTTTACTAAGGGTACTCAATATATTTATTGTATTCATATGATAAATATGTCTTAAATTTAAAATAATGCTACACATATGAGCCCTTTATTAGGCATAACAATAAAATCAGAGGTAGGCCGAGGTTTCAATTATTAATTAAAATTGTTATTTATCAAATAATAATATAAAAAAAAGTCATATAATAAAGAAATACGTCATATTATGAGTAGAATTATGTCACTTGAAAGTTTGAATTTGCTTAGATTATAATTATAGATATATAATTATATACTATAAAGTACATTTTTAATACAGTTGCTCAAAACGTGGTATTTTTCGTACTACAAATCGTGCCGAAAGTTGGAATTTTCGCACTAGTGCTTTTTACTTTTCCATTTTTTTTTAAATTTACTGTTGTTTCAAATCTTATGCACAGAACTAAAGAAGTTGTATATTTATGTGCTTTGTGACGTAAGTCATTCGTCATTAAAACTTATATTTATTTACAAATACTATATAATGAACGTATCGAGTGGAGGTCCACAGTCTCTGCCTACCCCAGAATGGGTGACAGGCGAGATTTTTATGTATATATTTGTTCTATGTATTACAGATAAAATGTATCTCACTACCGTGCACGGGTTCCTAAAGAAGTTTAAACAAAAGTACCAGGACTTCATAATAAGAAAAGTGGTTACAGACCGATATTACAGAAAATAAACAAAAACAGCACGTTAGAACTAGATTTCCATAGACTTTTAAATAATGGTTGCAGTGGTTGTATTTCATTATTTTAATTTACTAGCAGAAAATGAGTTTTTTTTAAATACTGTTTTATTTTACTTTCAATGTAGTTTTTTCGCAAATGTATTAAAAAACGTTGTTTAATACACATGCGGATTTGTCATTTTCACTTGTCTCGAGTCTTGACCCTCGCCTCTGGCTCGGGCCAAGAAGCCTCGAGACTCGTGAATAATGACTAACTTTCCGCACTTGTATCAAAAATAACTATTATTTATTATTCAAATGCATTATAATATTATTATTTTTATTTGTCATCAAAGTATTCATTTATATTGTAATAGCATTTATTAATAAGATGTAATTTTAATTTATTTAGAAACAGTGAATATTTTTCCTCGCTTTTAATAATGGGCGGGAGCTCATTGAATATCCTCACCGACATCGAGTATTAGTTCATATTTACTCACACTGCACTTCCACAAATACTTGTTGATCAAAGTCTGTGGAAGCCCTTAACTTACGAATTCAAATACTTGATTCTGCCGATATCTTCGAGTGGGCACCACCAGTAAGCAAAAGAAGAAAAAGAAAATACTGTCGTACAAACAATAATTTTTATTTATAATTTTGAATAATATGATAAATTCATTAAAACTAAGTAATTACATCACAAATTGTTTTGGTATCAGGCATGATTTAGCCTCTAAAATTAGTTTAAATTGGGGTGTCAATTCCGACGGAAAATTAATTTAAAATTCATCGCACCTTTAGAATTATAATCATACACTCATAGCCCTGTACTAGGGAACCCTGTATCACCGGCGCTATGAACACACAAAGTTTCATTGCCTTACAAATAAATGGACGACGGGTCTAATACAAAAACCACGAAAAAAATGTCCCAAGTCAACCTATTTAAACGTAGTGACATGTAAAGGAATATGAAGAAGCTAAAACGTTGAATTTAAATTGTAATGTCATCGCAGTACTGTCTAATTTTGCTTGCTTCGCGTCAGTCGAACAAACGAAGACTAAAGCGTGAATGACGCTCTGTATACGATTTTAACGCCCTATAAATTCGGACACTTTTTAGCGCGGACCCGACGTCCATATAATTGTAAGTCAATGGATGTCAAAGTAATTCTTGTTGCAATTTAGCCAATTAAAATTAAGATTTTGAATATGTTAACGTTTAAATGTTGCTACTTTTTGGACTTTTTTAATATCGCAGTGTTACTGGAATTAATTTAACATATCAACAACCCTTTTCTTTAAATAAATAAATAAAAAATGCAGGTCACAATATTTTTCTTCATTATTTTGCTATATGCTTCTTTATTTCAAGCTTATATCTAGCAAAAAAATTGAGGTTGGTTAATTTTTTCTGGGAATATAGTACAAAGCTTCATACTAATTCGGTACAAGTCCTTTGGAATTGCACTCCCGAGTCGGTATGAAAGCGCGATATTTAGACTTGATCTTGCACCTGCAAATATAACACGCCTCCAACCGTTGGCAAATTGTGTTGTTTTCGTTCCGAAAATAATCATATTTTTTTACAACAGCGACTTATCCTAAGTGCCTGACCTCCAGAATTAAAACTATTAAATCTTGATAAAGTTATATTATCTTACTTAACTGGTGAAAATAAAAAAGACAAATTTTTGTTGGGTCAAAACGACAATAAAAAATTGAAGTATAGTTTTTGTAAAGTATATCTTTTTAATAAAATATATAACTGCGATTAATTACCTCCATCTCTCATCTCTGATGAAAAGTGTCGATGAGGTCGACGATGGAACATGCACATGTAAATAATGCCTATTCACTCATTTCATGAAAAGGCCCAGGTAATAATGTTCAGAGAGTAAGTCTGCAGGTACGGAATTCCACTCCATAGTTCGCCATATAAATGTGGAAGCATAACGCTTCGTGCGAATCTTTCGAATATCCACAACATAGGGGTGGAACCCAAGCCTACGCCTAGTCCCCCTGGTAATGGAAAGGGGAAGGCGGAAATAAGTGTTGTAAATCTCGCACACTCTCCGTGATAATATCCAGTAAAATATCGATAAGCAGGCAACTTTAGATCGGTGTTCAAGGCTCTACTATATATTTTTGAATTGTTAAATATTAAAATAGTTTTATTTCTTATAAAACTATTTTAACTCCCAGAAATAAGTTAACTTCGTAATTAAATAATGTGAAAATGACACAACTTCAAAAAGTCGTGTTTTGCGTAGTCCCAAAAAGTTGGAATTTTGCGTTGGGT